GGGGTAGGGGCGTGTTTGTTTTGGTGATTTGAAATATCAACATTGGCTACCAGAAATCTACCCCACCTTTAAATATCAGCCTACATTATTATCATGGTTTCCCAAATTGGGGTTCATACGTTCATGAAAAACTTATAATTAATTAAATAAAAAAAATTAAAAACAAAATAAATAAATCAAAATAAAACAGTCAATACAAGACTTTCTGAACTTATATAATCTTTTTATAAAGGGACGATAATAGGTGAGCTACAGCCAATTAGATTGCCATTTGCGCGTTAGTTCCGCCCACTACCGGAGAAAGCGGCAGTTCTTAAAAGCTGAAGAATTCCAAAGAAACGTGCATTAAATACAGGTGCGCTACGCCTCCATTGAGATGAACTGAAAAAAAAAATAGCACAGATCGCTTGACTGAGTCTAACTCTGAAGCGCTCAGTGCGTGTGTTCAGCGAGTGAAAATATATCTGTGCTAAACTTATACTTAGCCTCCAACTCACACACTGGCGAGTAAAATCTGAGAATTTATTAGCCATTGGCTAATATTAGACATCATTTAGTCGCCCAGAGTGAAGATTTAGGTCATCGCTGATGTGTTTTTCAGTCAGAACTCATTGCACACAGCGTGATTGTGAATCGCTGACAGCTCCATATATTTAGCATGCCAAATATTTCACGGGCGTCTGCGACCTGTCGGCGATTCCCTCAGATCGCGTCTTTGATAATTCACACTGCGTGATTGTCACTCGCGTGAACGAGCACCGATTTGCCTCCGATTTCGGGCATTTGTCGGCGATTTCGCAAAACCTGTCGGCGAGTGAAAAATCGGGCTAAAATCGTGCAGTGTGAACTCGGCATTAATCGCATATGCGAGTGATTTACTCGCAATTTAACAATGTAGAGGGTTGACAGTATGGCTCGCGCGCTCCTGTTTAAGTCACGAAATACGCATCGGGATATCGTGACAACATATTCCTTCGTTTCATAATACTCAATTAATTGTTGTAAACTGAGATTGGTGTCTTTAGAAGACGTATATGTGCTGAATTCTACATAAATAATCCACAACAATGCCGTGCTATGGGCACAGCCATTGATAGGGCTGCAGCGGAAGTTCTTTTACGCTACTATTTGAATCTTCCGCTTTTCAAAAGCGGAAGTGTGATAAAGGCCTATCGTTGCCTGGGTTGCGTACGTATGTGTGGGGCGGAGCTATCAAAATAGGGGCGAGACCCTTTTGGGGTAGGGGCGTGTTTGTTTCGGTGATTTGAAATATCAACATTGGCTACCAGAAATCTACCCCACCTTTAAACATCAGCCTACATTATTATCATGGTTTCCCAAATTGGGGTTCATACGTTCATGAAAAACTTATAATTAATTAAATAAAAAAAATTAAAAACAAAATAAATAAATCAAAATAAAACAGTCAATACAAGACTTTCTGAACTTATATAATCTTTTTATAAAGAAAATCTAAAAAGATAAAAACGAAAACTTAGGTACAATCACTAAACTACAAATAGTTACTGCCACTGTGTGAATAATATCATGTTATCAATAAAAAGTAACTTATTTTAAATCTAACTACAAGTATTTTTTTCTGTAATCTGATAATGTAATCCAGACTACATATAATCAGCTACATATAGTCAATACCCAGCACTGTGTATATATAACAGGTTAGCAACTAAACAACATTCTTTTAGATATTCTGTACATTCCTGCAGTGGCTTTAACAGAGAGTAACATCTTGCCTTCTGGTATTCATGGCTGGTGAATGTCAGATAATGTTAAATTCCTGTCTGGCTTTCTATAGCTTTCTGTGTCACCTTTAATATCCAGGGCTCTCTCTATATTTACAAGAGAAGTGTGGAATACACACAATTTAGACTCCTCTGTGGCACATTAAATATTGAAGCTGAAGCTGATAATCTCTGATCGTGAGTTATTCTTGAACAAAATTGAAGAAAAACATGATAATGTGAATATTATAATGTTAAACTGTACCACTGGTATCATATCTGTAGTATAAAGTATGTTGACATATTGCAGCCAAATTGCAAATATTAAACGTGGGCTTATTGGCACAACGTCAAGTACCATTTAAGCGAGATCACAGTATTTGTCATAATTTATGCTCTTCAGCTCAAGAGACCAACAATACCATGGATAAAGACAGATTAGATACACTCTAAGAAGTCATTAACATTTTAGATCCTAAATATTCTCTTCAATACCTACAGTGTACATGATTAAACTTGTGATCATGTTGTGTTGAAAACAGCATGATTCCACAAATTATATATATTGGTATCGATATATTGATGGAATATATGCAATCAGCTTCTCTTGGATTTTGCTTTTACACTGACACAACTGATACAGTAATAACCCTCTGTAATAACTGGATCAGCAAAACATCAATAATTCGAACACATCCATTAAATATTTCAGAGAGCACAGCACTAGTTAAAGTGTTGGTGTTCAAGTTAATAATACAACAGAAGAGATAAAACAGAGGAGAATATCTCTCAGTAACATCCTTCCGATTAATCAGCACTGACAGTAAGAGATGTGGCCTGAGGAGAAAAGAAGCAGGTTCCCACCCACGTCTCCATGTAACACTGACGCTGGTGAGGGACACGTTTAAAGCACAGGCACAGAGGTACTAAGCATTCACAGACCACCAACTGACATTCTCTGGTCATCTGGGACAGTCATGACAGCCCTATTCACAGTACACAATAGCCTCCTGTTACAATTTTTTACCCAATTCTGAGATACAATAATGTTGTCACATTGAAATTACTTGGCATAAGTGCCTTCACTTCTGAAAATGTAACAACAATACAAGAAACATTCTAGGGTGTATTTTAGTCAAAGCGAGTATAAGAAAAAAATCTAAGATAACAATCAAGGCTTTCTGGGAAAAAACAGCAAGGTGCAAAACTGACGTTTGAATAGCCTGCTAAACATAACCAATGGTAGAATTTGACTGTCACTTAAGCCAAGCAAACAATTTTGTGGAAACAAGGGGTGAACAAAGGGTGATGGTCCATCATTTTCCCCCAAAGCTCTACACAAAGTCCTCAGTGAAATCATAACGGAGGGTGAGTTTCAAGTAGATAGCAGCAACCGAGCTTGAGACAACCAACACAAACAAATAACATGAAAACCTTACTTGAGCAAAATATCACATTGCACAATATTACACAAAACAAAGAGTATATAAACAGCAAACTGTAGGCTAGTGATACCCGATTCCTGAATAAATTGTTCTTTTGAGTCGAATCTTTTCAAAGAATCGGTTGACTGATTCAATAAACCGGCCTTGGGCGATTAGTTCACGAATCGGACTGAATCAGTCTGAGCATTTCTCGAGTCACCGACTCTTTAAACAGAGAACCGTCTCTGTCATGTCCGATTTGTAACAAGCTGACACACGATGAGTCAGCAGACAGTTTGTTTTCATAAACAATATTTTATTTTAAAACATGCCGAGAGATGTAGCCTATCTGAAATGAACAAAACACAAACATTATTTAGGTTTTAGGTTCTAAATCACTCGTGACACTACAATACAGATCTAGCCTACATGAATAACAAAATCAGAAAACTACAATAAAGAGCAACATGTACTCACATTTTACTTTTTAAAACGTTTTCGAGCATGCAACGCCAGTGTGATTCGGACTACGTGATGACGCACTTACGTAAAAGAATTGCTAAATGGGGTTTTGAATAGGTTCATTGAAACGAACTGTTCGAAAGAACCGACTCCATGAAATGAGTCGAACTTCCCATCATAGTGGTCCTGTGTATTAAATGAAAAGGAGGACAAGCTAAATTTCCAAGGAGTCAAACATATTCTAACGTATATAAAAATGTAATATAATGTTTCATATGATTCTGAAAGTTAGATTTCACGGAAGACAATATAAACGACGTCTGGATCAATTCTTAAGAAGAAAAATACATAGGCTCCCCAGGTCTGAAATCACTCAATATCTGATGTTATGAAAAATCATTTTATTTAAATTAGAGTACAACATCCAGCAGCAAACTGCAAGAATGGACTTGTGAAACTTAAAAAAAATAAAATTAGACACTTGCATCAGTTACCGTCAGACACACCCATGAAAAAAAGCTTTCAATAAACGCGGATCGGTTGGAATTCTGTTAACATGTTTATCATAAACTAATCTTGACGTGACTCAAATCCCCCTTTAATCCCGCACATAATCGTGTGCAACTTTTCTGTCTTTATTCAAAAAAATTTCCCCAGGGCTCAAACATTCGTGGGGCTCTTTCGGACGGTGGGAATCATGAATGACTTCATTGTAATTGTGTAAAGTGTTCGGCTTGGCGGGGTTAACAAAAGTCTACCCCCTTCCCCAGCTCCTTATGCAACCCCTCATAGAGACACTCTGGACCCTAGACTTTAAAGATCTATAAGTGAGCCAGTTCACCTCCCAAACTCGAAAATTTCTCAGGAGGGAAAAAAAATCATCACGGTCCCAAACTGTTCTGGTCTATATGGGAATCAGCAGGGTTTATGACCCAAATAAAAGTGACGGAGCGGCAATGGGTGATCTGCCGAGCGTTGTTTACAAAACTGAGAGCAGAACAGAGACAGAGGCAGGTGCCAGCCAAGTTTAGTTTGAACACTTCTACAGCGACTTGAGTCTCCTACCTGAGCAGCGCGGTGTCTCCCTGTCTGCTGACCACACTCTCGCTGGACGCATAGTCCACAGTTTGTCCAGCGGGCAAGCACGATGGTAAAAAGCAGCAAAGACTGAGAATGATAGCGGTGAGCCATTGACCGGAGACGCACGCATCCTGCACTGCAATCATTATGTCCATCACCGCCGAATGGAGCACGATCCGCGCCGTTATCAAAAATAAAAATATCTGGATGAAAATACAATAATCCTCCACGAAAACCCCGAGAAAAGGCGTTCCGTGTAGTTTCCCAGATTTGTTTTGATCGGAACCTGACCGCGGGAGGAAGTCGACTCTCCAGTGGCTTGCACACAATCTAGTGAGGAAATGGGAAACGGGAGCAGAGCTAGCAGCAGACAACCCCCCGGCTCTGATCCTGTTGCCATGCGGCCGTTTCCCAGGCAACCTGTTCCCTGTAGCTCGTGATGGAGCAGTTAAGCAGGTGGTTATTCTTGATACGGCAATACTATTTAAATGAGTGAGTTTTGACCACCCGGGGTTTAGCGCCCTGCAACCTCGAGACGTCCTCCTGCAAACACGCACTTTGTTTTGTTTTAGCCTATTGCGTGCGACGTCTCTAACAACGAGTCGATGAAAAGGGCAAGATGTAAAATGACACAGGTCAGGTCTTGTTTGTGTCATCGGTGGCCCATGCAGCCCTGCAGTAGGCTGCTATTTGTTCCTAGAAGTTACTGCATGCTGGATGTTCTCATCCATTTTTAGACGGCTTGAAAGATTTCATAGTTCTCTCAGACCAAGTGTTTTTTTTGTGTGTGTGTGTGTGTTGTTTATCATATCAAAGTAAACAAAAATGTCCTTAAAATTAAATATTTGTGACCCTGGACCACAAAAAACAGTCGTAAGGGTGATTTTTTTTTAAATCGGTATTTATACATCATCTGAAAGTTGAATAAATAAGCTTTCCATTGATTTATGGTTTGTTAGGATAGGACAATATTTGGCCGAGATACAACTATTTGAAAAGCTGGAATCTGAG